GTTTATGCTGAACCAAAATCTCAGCCAGAGAAAAAAAAATGGGAGCTGGGGGCAAATGGAGGCATTCAACCAGATCCCTGCAACAGGTTTGATGTGAAGTGTCTTATCCATAATAAACTGATGTATTGTGGCAGTATTATTAATGACTAACCACACACTGAGAGATGTCGAAGGACAAAACCACTTTTAGTCTATGAACCCACGTTCCTGAAATAAGGCCACAAATAAAACTGGTGCAGATAGTCAGTATTGTGGTCTCTCTCAAAAAAACAGACCATTTCTCCTAGGGATTTCTTCTACATATCGGGGACAAACTGTATTATTTATACTCAATCAGTGATTTTGCTCCCTACCCATCTTGTGGAAGTTTCTGTCTTAAAGATACAATTCACAACTGTCCTAGGGCAGGTGATCCAAAAGCACAAGCTCACTTCACACAAGCAAATGTCAGATCTTCAGTCATTAATGACTCAGCTGGCAGGGGGGAGGAGGAGGATGTAGGTCCCATGTTACTATACCTGAGGTATCTCTGTCCTTTACTTCCAGAAAGTTATGATGACTTTTTTTGGTTTTTTTGTCTGGTGAATTATGGCAAACAATTCATCTGATTAGCTCTGATTTAGACTTGCATGGTAAAATTAAAGCAATTTAAAAGCAACTAATTGTTATAGGTGTTAGAGAGACCTGGCTCAACATACCCATCACTGTACTGGCGCTGTGTAATGCTCCCCACTGCTTCAAATCGGGGGAAAGTGGATGAGAGTTTATTCTTCAGGAGGCTGAGCAGCACCAAGTAGACACTTGCACTGAATGGCATGGACGTATCCAAAAGACAGATGGTAACAGGACGCCGATATCGATAAGCAAACAGGGATTAAAAGATAAATACTGTCCTTTGTAAAAATGATTAGATAATGGCAAAAGCATAACACTTATTAATCTATGCATCTAGGGGACCTTCAAATTTAATTTTATTTCAAACCTATGCGGCTATAGCCTATGAAATAAAGCAGTTGCTTTGTACAGACTGCTCTATAAAGCGCAGGTTCTCTTCAGCAAACAGCAAATGATAACAGCCTTTAGGAGGGAGCAACAAAAGCTGAACTCGAGCACCACGCTCATTCCTCTGACCAACAACAATCAGATGCTTATACAGGATCACATTTCCAGGTAAAAGCCCACCATACTTCTGCCAAGTCCTAACAAACAAACAACACCAAGAACCTAATCAAACTATTCGGTGTTCTTATGTGTTGCAATGGGAAGTGTTAAAATACCTATTATTTTAATTGACTTTGCCCACACGAGCAAACACGCTCATGTCTGGCTGGAGCAGCATGCTAGTCCAGAGCACAGCAGGACATCGGGAAGTTGTCAAGAGAGTGGCTTCTTCACTGGATTGTTACTGATAGCTCCGGATTTGTCTTGTCAGTTGTAAGTAAGAGTGTGTTGCTGTGTCTGGTGAGTAAGGCCAAATCCGTCCCAATATTCATTATTATGGTAACTGTCACACTTAGAAACTGTTTCCCTGCTCTTCTTGCAAACACAGCAAGATTTTACGGCAGTAAATAAAAAATACCGAGGATGAAATTGTTCATTTTCTTTTATTCGTGTCTGTAGCAAAAAGCTGCTTCTCCCTTGCTAAAAACATCTTATAAACTTGTAAGAGACACAAGGAAAAACAAAAAGCCATCAGCCGTACAAAAACCCGCACGTTTTATGCCCTCTGGGGGGACTGGAGGGATTCAGGTAAGGGAAGTTGCAAATTCCTCCTTCTTTTCTTGCACGGAAAATACAGGTGGACTTCGCTCCTACCCACCCTCTGAACTTGCAGCTAATCTCTCTAACTGACAGACGGTTTCTCTCGGTAGATGTTTAAAACCGAGGCCGGCGCAGGCCAAGAGGCCGGGCGGCACCCGGGCCGCAGGGACGGCACAAAAAGCCCCCGACTCACCTATGAGCTCCCCCGTCATGAAGAGGAGGTAGAGGAGGGCGGCGAGGGTCAGCCGCTTCTTCACCTTCCTCTGCTTGGAGCGCTCCCGCCGGCTGCTGCAGCCCTGTC